CACTTTAACTCAGTCACTCGATAATGCACATTTATTTCCTTTAACTGGGAATTTGAAATTTTAATTATAATTTGTTAAATTTTTGTTATGAGGCTTTGAATAATAAAAATAATATTGAATCTGAATCAAGAGACAGTGATGTTTAAAATCCAAATTATATATATCTTGTTTTAATCATAAACAGCCTTGAGATCCAGTACAGACTGTAATCAGTGTCACTGGCATATTAAAATTGTTCATTAAGAAATATTTTAATTCACATTTGAATGAGGCATTGTATATGACTACTTCAGTAACTCTTAATTGCCAATGCAGTAATTTTCCAATACATTCTGTGCCCCTAATCCAGTGCTGACATGCTATACAACTGACTAGTAAAGTCTCAGATGCTTGTTTCATACTCTGAATTGTTCAGTGTGTATATGATAAACATAATATTTTAGAACTAAAATTGAATTTTATGATGGTGAAATGAAAATAAAATAAGAATAAAATGCTGTCCCTTGTTAGGAAATGAAGAAAACAGCAATGCTGTTTACAAGAATAATTCTGTAAACATAAGAATCTGATATTGCATGTGCATGTTCAATATGAAAAATATGTGTCAACTTGTTGGGATTGCATGACTACATAGAAATTACTTCAGCATTATGATGTTTTCACCTCTGGTGTCTGAATTAGACTAAGACCTAAAATTGATGTTCTCATCAGCTAGGCTTACTGCAAATTGACAAACAGATTCCTAACAATATCTCAGATCATTCATCACATGCTGAAGCAAATAATTTTAGAAATACTGAGTTGATATGATTTTGAAACAATAAATTGGCCAGTCTGTTGTACAACCAGCTTTTGATTCTGACTGTAATCAATAGCCTTTATGTAAAAATCGTGGGGTTTCATACAAAAACTATCATTTTGGTTCAACAATCGTATATTGAAAAGGTAACCTGGAATATTTATTAGACTGCTAATAGCAGACAGTGTTAAATTCAACACCATATTCCACACTGTATTTAGCTCTGAAAACAAACTAATTTATCATTCATTTAAAACAGGTAACAGACAAGATCTGAGACACAGATATTAAAAAAATGATTTGTGATTCTGTATTTCAGCATCCCGTCGCAATTGTTCAACTTAACGTCCATTATTTATCATCCGTCAATACTGCAGCATTCTTCCACTCACCACTCAATTTATTTTAACAATATACACCTTGACATTATATGTTTCAGCCCCAAATGGCCATCTTCAGGTGTCTTGATATGTTACAAATATTTTATTAAACCGTGTTAAAACTGCTACACTGTCTTAGTTCGTGTCAGAATAGCATGCTGTAGTCCTCTTTTTAAGTTAAAACCAGATAAAATCCTTTAAAGTTTTTATTATACCCACGTTATTTTGGTGCAAATTATTTCACCTCACATGGGGTGTCATCCAGTTTCATAAATGTATGTCTGTCCAGAGTGTTTTTCTCGGCAGCTTGCCCCTCACGTTCGGAGCCTACTTTTCAGTAGTGTACTAGTCCAGTCTAGTAAAGACAACACCACACGCTGTGGAGGAAACACACAAACCAGGGGCATATGGCAGTCATAAGAGAAAAGTAGGCTATGAACATGAGGGGCAAGCTGCCGAGAAAAACACCCTGGACATNATCTTCAGGTGTCTTGATATGTTACAAATATTTTATTAAACCGTGTTAAAACTGCTACACTGTCTTAGTTCGTGTCAGAATAGCATGCTGTAGTCCTCTTTTTAAGTTAAAACCAGATAAAATCCTTTAAAGTTTTTATTATACCCACGTTATTTTGGTGCAAATTATTTCACCTCACATGGGGTGTCATCCAGTTTCATAAATGTATGTCTGTCCAGAGTGTTTTTCTCGGCAGCTTGCCCCTCACGTTCGGAGCCTACTTTTCAGTAGTGTACTAGTCCAGTCTAGTAAAGACAACACCACACGCTGTGGAGGAAACACACAAACCAGGGGCATATGGCAGTCATAAGAGAAAAGTAGGCTATGAACATGAGGGGCAAGCTGCCGAGAAAAACACCCTGGACATACATACATTTATGAAAATGGATGACACCCCTGTGAGGTGAAATAATATGCACCAAAATAACGTGGGTATAATAGAAACTTTAAAGGATTTTATCTGGTTTTAACTTAAAAAGAGGACTACAGCATGTGATTTTAACATGAACTACGACACTGTAGCAGTTTTAACANTGCATATTATTACACCTCACATGGGGCGTCGTCCATTTTCATAAATGTATGTCTGTCCAGGGTGTTTTTCTCGGCAGCTTGCCCCTCACGTTCATAGCCTACTTTTCAGTTGTGTACTAGTCCAGTNCACGTTCGGAGCCTACTTTTCAGTAGTGTACTAGTCCAGTCTAGTAAAGACAACACCACACGCTGTGGAGGAAACACACAAACCAGGGGCATATGGCAGTCATAAGAGAAAAGTAGGCTATGAACATGAGGGGCAAGCTGCCGAGAAAAACACCCTGGACATACATACATTTATGAAAATGGATGACACCCCTGTGAGGTGAAATAATATGCACCAAAATAACGTGGGTATAATAGAAACTTTAAAGGATTTTATCTGGTTTTAACTTAAAAAGAGGACTACAGCATGTGATTTTAACATGAACTACGACACTGTAGCAGTTTTAACACAGTGTAATAAAATATTTGTAACATATCAAGACACCTGAAGATGGTCATCTGGGGCCGAAACATGTAGTGTCGAGGTGTATAATGTTAAATGGAAGAGTGTTGCATTATTGACAGATGATAAATAATAGACGTTAAAATGATTTCTATTGACAGTGCTTAAGGTGGTTGGTAACATCTGCCTCAAATTTGTAATTGGCTACAATATTAAGAAAAGAAACACACTTGCATTAGCATAATTTTGCCTGTTCATATTGTGGCATCAAAGCTAGAAGAGACAGCCATTGCTAGGCAATGAATCAACACAAAAAAACAGAGGGACTGTTAGACAATATACATACAAGAATAGAGAAATCACAAAATGACGTTTTCTACGTCGTCCATGCTGAGGCAATATAACTGAGAAGCCACAGCCTTCAGAGTCATCAGACAGCAAAATATGGTAATAAGTTCTCTGGGACTCAGAACAAAAGATCACAATGCTGGCAAAGGCCAGAAGCAATTTAGTAGTCAGTCAGTCCGTCAGTCAGTCAGTCAGTCAGTCAGTCAGTCATAAGTTAGTTGTGAGATGGTAGACAGCTGGCAATGACATTAGCACAGAAGAAAAGAATGGCAGTGTTAGAAACTACTACCAACCAACAGCTAGTGAAGACATAGCAGACTGAGACCTAGGGTGTGCAGCAGTGATTTGTCAAGGGTGTAGATTAGTGAAAATGTTATAGCAACCTGTAATTACAAGTTACAAGTGTTCAATAAGTCCAGTTATCAATCCAAACCCCATGTCTAATCACTAACACAGGACACTGTGGTTTCACTTCAAGCCAAGAAATAATGTTGAAGGACCGCATCAGCAATTTATTCAAACTGAAATTAGTCCCTGGAATTCCATATATTCATGTTCATTCATGTGATTAGCCTCACTTTCCTTCTCAAGCTTTTTGGGGTGATCAGTATTGTGTGGAGGTTAGGAGATGCACTATCCATAACTTAGAAGTTACAAAGATAATGAACATTTAGCCTGTAACCTGCCAATTTTTGTCAGACCGCACATATTCTGTCAAATGCCTACTTTTTCCAAAAATGACATGTTAAAAATGTAATAATACCATATTACTTTGAACATAAGACGAACATTTTTTACATTTCTGTCCCGATGACAAATTGAGGTGCATCTTAAATTCAAGAAATAGCCAGTTTGCAAACTGTCCAGGGGGGGTAACCTGAAAAGAACCTAATGTAAACACATTTGGAGTGAGTCACCAAGCCACATCTCCCCTCCCACTCCCACCCCCACCCCCTTCAACTGTGAGCCAGGTAATGACTGAACTTTCAGTTCAGTCATTACCTGATGTTCTTATTGCTCAAGAGTGTTCTTCTTTCTATTAATTTTTTTTTTTACATATGATACTGCATTCAAAAGAAAGTTACTCTGTGCACTGAGAAGATAGATTATCGTGCAGCTGGTAGAAAGTATACACTAAGTGAGGCATGTGTACATCAGTAGCAAAGTATAAAAACAAAGCTGTTTCCATGTCTTTTTCTGGACAAAGAAAAGGGAGAAATCCTGCAAAGATGCAATAGTTCAGGGCTAAAAAATGCATGGATGACATCACAGTTAATGGAAGTCTGGCTTGGATGTGCAAGGGAATGTCATCCTGGTGTGCTTTCAGAGCAGTGGAGTATGCTTGCAATGGATGCATTTCATGGCCATCTCTCTGATAGAATCAGAAATTGGTTACGGAACAAAAACACCAATCTAGTGATAATTCCTAGTGGCATGCCAAGTTAATTACAACCATGTGTCACTTAACACCCCATTCAAGCATCATATCCATAAACACTACGATGCCTGGCTGAATAAAAACAATCAAATATTGACACTTAGTGACAAAATAAAACGAGCATCAACATCAATAACAGTGGAGTGGATATCAAAAGCTAGGAAAGAAGTGCCAATCAATATTAATCCAAAATCATTTAAAGTACTATTTGTCTAATGTGGAAGATGGAACACATGATGACATTCTTTGGGACAACAGTGAATAAAGTGGTGAGGGTGAATCTTCTTCAGAAAATGAAAGTGTGACCGAAGGATCATTTGACAAACTTTCTGATTAAATAAAAAAAGATAGAAAGGGGTGTGCATGTAGTGAAAACTTTAAATTTCCATTTAATCCTGGTATATTTTCCACTGCTTTTACTTTAAATGTTTTAAATCTTTTGTTATTTTAATTGATGTGTTCTAAATAAGCTCACTAAACATAAATACATCTTTCTAATTTCTTCCTAAAACACTCATTTAAAAACTGGATGTGCCTCAAATTCAAGGGTGTGTTATATTCAAAGTAGTACAGTATATACATGCTTTCTCATATGAATAAACTTAAGCAGCTTCATAATGCTCAAAAATGCATATTTTTGCATGTAAAGGTTTATTTCATACCAAAACTGTTTCCATGTTTATGTAACCATACTTTGTTCAGGAGTTGAGAAAATTACAAACTAAAAATGGCTGGTAGTTGAGAATACTTGTGCTGTAAGTTAGAATATTTATGCTGTACAGCAATAATTATATGAATTTTCAACAAATCAAAATCTGAAAATTGAATACATATCAACAGAATATCATACATTGTCAAGTGAGATCCAGAGGTCTTTATCTCAGCTTACAAACTTATTCATGACAAAAAGGATGGTGTTTACCAAAAACAATCTTTTAAAATATTCACTGAAAATCAACATGGTAGTAATTATTGAAAGAATCAATTATAAATTACAAACAAAAGTTAAGTCAAAAATATTATTTGTAACAGGTGCCTATTTCAAAGCCATATTTACCTGCATCTAAAATTAAAGTTTTTACTGCTTACACATATGAGGTCTAGTGACTTGAAAGGGCACAATGGATACAATATCCACTTCTGACAGAGAGCTTCAATTTTCTACAAAGGGTGTGAAGCATTCAGTGAAATATATTTCTCACTACAATGCTGCAAAATTCTTTTAAGAAGTGTTTGTATCACGATCACTGACTTGTTCATACTCTCAGATTCTTAAAGACTGTACAACCACAGGGAAAATAGTGAACACTGAAGAAACCTGAAGAACATCTAATATTCAAACATATTTCCTTATCATGGAAAAAATATTCTTTCAGTTAAACGTTCAGATTGTTTTAGGCATTTTGTATTGTCATAATGGTATATAAGGCCTGTGTCATTTATTTTTCATCCCTCCTCACATTTTTAATAATGATTACACTTCGACTGAGCATAAACTTACAGACATACAAAACTGCAGTGCAGTGTAATGACTAATAAAAAATATATATGAAATGGGTGTCATGTTTGAACAGCTGTGGTGTCTAGCTAAACAACAATTAGAAACCAATATTGTTCCTTCAAAATAACAAAATATATTTATCATACACAGGAAATATGCAATGATGATTGAACTCCATATTCGAAAGCAGTTAATCCTTTTAAAATAATTAGCTATATTTTCTCTAATATACTTCAGAATGTCTCAACAATATTTCAGAACACATGGAAACTATATCGTGGGAGAAGAGTGCAGTCATATTGCAATAAGAATGTTCAAATGTGATCCTCTATAACTGAATGTTCTGAAACTTTGTAATATACTTGACAAACTTATCTACTGAAGAAGCATCATGCTATAAGTTTGTGTATCTGCACTGGGAAACATGTATCATAACAAATTTAAGGCAAATTTGAAATATAACTGTCATTAACTTTTTCTGAACTAATCCTTCAGTATTCATTTGTAAATATGTAACTGCATCAAAACAATTTTGTCACCAAGAAAAGTCAAATGAGACAAGTTACAATGAAAATACTATACTTTTTGGATAATTACACTTGCAGTCTTTAAGTACATAATCCTCAAGGGGCTGGTCACTGCCACATTCTGTCACTTGCAAGAAGCAGATTCATTATGGGAGAGACATCACATCCAATGCAACTCTTCCGCTTATTTTCCAATGCCTAATAAAAATGAGGAACAATAGAACAGAGAATATTCTAACGTAAACACCATCTGCTATACATGACTTGCTGATCTGGCAGCTTCTCCCCATGTTACCACTGAATCCAAGTGCTGCTTATTATAAAGTTTTACATCTGTGGACGAAGGTATGTGATTTGATGGGGTTCCACCTAGTGCCAGATTCACATTCTGATATAGGTTACTATTTGCAGTGTTATTGTTTGGTTTGTGGAGAAGGTTGATGGGAGAGGAGTTCAGATCTTGTCTCTGATGCTGTGGCTGGACTAGTAATGTGTAATCAATGGGATGATTCTGCAAGCGAGGTTTCCCTGCTAAGTTCAGTTTAGCATTCGCCTCATTCTTCTCATACTGTGGTCCTCTGACACTTCCTATCTTAGTCTGAGTGAGTGTATTATCAGAGTGCATTAACATAATACACTGGGATGTTGGTAGTACAGTATTGCAATTTGCTGATGTAGATTCATTGTGATGTTGCAGCAGGAGTGGCACTTTCTTGGAAGACATGTCATCAAGGTTACGAAGATGGTACTGGTTAGGTCTCCTGGTTGCATGGCCAGCTGTTGGCGGAAAGAAACTGCTTCCATGTTTACCACCATGCATAAAGCCTTGTTCAATACCATCTCTGCGAAGGATCCTAATGGCAAGAGCAATGAGAATGAAAAGGATCAGAGTTCCACAGATTGGAACTGCAATAGTTGCAGCTTTGAACCAGACTTCATTGCTATTGTAGCCTGCTGGGGTTTGTGCTGCTCCACTGAGGTACAGTCGATCTTCACTTGTGTTCAGTATGGAACCTGTAAGAATGAAATATGACAGTCAATGCATAAATTCACTTGCTAAGCATATATCACAAGATTTTTTTCAGTTCAATCAATCCTACTAATCACTAAGGCTCTGTCCAGGGCCACGCCATAGCTCAAGCGGATAGTCACTGGCTTCCCACCGCGGCGGCCCGGGGTTCAATCCCGGGTCTGGTCAAGTGGGATTTGTGGTGGGCCGCCGAGGTGGGAAGCCAGAGACTTAACCGTTTGAGCTATGGCGCGGCCTTGAGAAACAGTAAATAATAATAATACAACATACTGATCCATTTCTGTGTATAATTTCTACTGCATAGATTCTGACTGCATTACATTTTACACAAAGCAACCTTAAAGTTTTGCACTGTTGTCACACTTGTAATCATTAACATAAAAAACATTTAAAACAGAATTTGTATGTATGTTTATGCTCTAATTTGCACATGATTCCAAAAATTTATTTGCACTTGTTTATTATAGCAACAAAACCAAAAGCTAAGAGAGTTCGTGAGGGGGACATTTTGTTTTACATTTTATAAAATACTGTCTTATCAAAAACTGCATAGTTTCTGATCCTCTGCTAATACTGGAAATACTGTTCCTTTCGACTCAGAAGTTCACATTATAGCCATATTGGTATTAATTAGTATTAATTGTTATTAATATATATTATTGGTATTGTAATGGTAGGAAATTTCAAAGGCCATGTGGCCTCTGATATGTTCATACCATGCTCATGAAAACTGAATATTAAGGGAGACATGCATGTGGATATATGGACATACAATTAGCCTGTTCTTTCTAAAATAAGTGAAGCAGATTAAGAAAGTGAAATGACTCTGATGTAACAGCTACTCTCCTCTGTTTTCACAAACATGTACGAGTATATATCTTATGTTTCAGACTTAACAATCAAGCAGAGATGTAACAGGTATTCAATTTCAGAGAACAAGCTTCTCTTTTCTGCATTTGATGTCCATAATTTCAGCAGACAACCATGACTTGTATGTGCTACCGAAGCATGTATAACATTATTAAGTAGGAAGATAATGAATCTTTACATGGAAACACAGGAGTAGTCTCAGCAGAAATGAGCGGTTGCTGGCTGGCTAGCTTAAAGATACGTGATAAGGATAACCTCAAGGAAGTGACCACAGAGTGCTCAACCTTAACTAGCATCATATGCTGGGCTTCTAGTTTCAGAGAAAGGGCGACATCAACGTTGTATTATATTTTATGTAAACACTGACTCTATTATGTTCGCGGACTAAGGATCAATTTATTTTAGTCTTCAAGTTAACAGGATATATGTGAAAATACTCTCATGTGCTAGGAATGACTGTAGAGTGGGGTTTTGGATTGGATATTGGATTTACTGACCGCCTACACACACAACTCCAAACTATAAGTAATTACAGCGCCATTGCTAATCTTCACACTTCACAAATCACCTCAGCACATGACACGTCTTTTCCAGCCTGCTGTGCGTTCACCAGCCATTCCCTGGTAGCGGCTCCTAATAGTGGAGATTCCTATGTGATTGTGAGGCCATAGCTTTCTTAAGATTTCGTCACCTGGGTCAGTTTTACATGAAACCAAGTGACTTTTATGATGCCCCCATAAATAAAGTCCTATATTTCATTTGAGGTGTGGGGGGTTTTTATTGCTAGTGGGGTGGGAACTAAGTCCCTTCTACTGTGGCCATTTCTGGCCTATTGTACCAGCCCCAGATGATAGGTGAGGGTGATTTTGGAGCAATTGGTGGAATGAAGATTGGCAGGGGAAACCCAAGTACTCGGAGAAAACCTGCCCCAGCGCCACTTTGTCCACCATAAACCCCACTTGACCAGACCCGGGACCGAACCCGGGCCGCCGCAGTGGGAAGCCAGCAACTAACCGCTTCAGCTATGGCGCGGCCTGGGTTCTTACCATACTTGGTCCTAAACTTTCGTTGCACATGTGTAGCACATCTGTTTTTGTCGAATTCAAACACACAGAAAGCCTTCTCACCATCGTAAGTGTAGGGTTAATAAAGGGTTAATCCAAAGGGGAAGCACAATAGATCACTGAAGGTTGCAGTGGGAGGGCCGGATTCTATGGCCCACCCCTTACACATAGACATAACAGTGGAAATTCTTCAGCTTCTGCACTCAAGACCTCTCTTCACGGCCACCCATACAGAACTAACTTTGATGCCTCAGTTGTCTTCCTTATGACTCCTTGGCATGGCATTCAAAGACACCATTCTCATATAAGTTGCTGCAGGAATGTGTTTACCGAACCGTTCCCTAGCAACGACCGTCTAATCTTACTTATCAAGATTCTGCTGCCTAGCAACAGATGTTGTTCCTTTGTCTGTTTGCTGCCGTTGCCTAGACGATGTGTTGTTTCAGAGCCATTCGCTAGCAATGGCTGTTTCTCTGGCTCCACAGTTCTTGCTTTGAGCAAATATGTCACAATACAGTTCATGATTTTACAACATACTTCACTTGCATTTTACACGATTTCAATGACTAGGTCTTAGACCTCTCTTCTTCAAATTCTCTGGATGTTCTTCTCTAATTTGAATCTCGAAGAAACTGCAGTGGAGAAGAAATTTAAGAAAATGTATAATTTGAACACCATCTCCTAGAAGAAATACTGTAAATTAAACTGCTGCAATTTTCAACAGGATGTTTACAAATTTGTGAAAAATGTATTCTAAAACCTTACACTGAACTGAAAAGAAACGTTTGCTTTCAGCAGTCTGTTCCAGAAAAAAATAGGGCAATAACATAACTATTAAGGAAATGGTTTGGTTTTCAATAGGAATAATGGAATGCTGGAAATAGAGTGAATAAGCAGCCATGGACAGCTGACAATGGGTGGTCCTCAAGCTTGGGGGTTTGTTGTGAGAATAACAGCTCCTTAATATAAAAATAAGCTCACTATAACATGTTACAAAGGGCCTCTCACTTGGAACGACAAAGTCAAGGAGGATGAGATGGGCAGAACATTTAGCACACATGGGAAAGAAGAGTAATGAATATAGAATATTGGTGGGAAAGCCAGAAGAAAAGAAACCACTAGGTAGACCAAGACATGAGTGGGAGGATAATATTAAGATGGATCTTTGAAAGATAGATGGTGGGGTGTGGACTGGATTGATCTGGCTCAGGATAGGGTCTGGTGGAGGGTTCTTGTGAACATGGTAATGAACCTCTGGGTTCAATAAAATCTTGGGAAGTTCTTCAGTAGCTGCACAACTGGTGGCTTGTGGAGAAGAACTCAGCTCCATGAAGTTAGTTAGTTAATAATCAAATGCTTCAACAATTTGTGCCTGTAAACATAGTTTCTAAACTGTAAATAACAATAGTTAAGTATAAAAGTCTTAATTTGTTAGTATTTTTGAAGAAAGAAAATGGTAGCTTCAAAATCTAAAGGAGGGTGCTTCGAAAATGTGTAATATTATTTATGCTACATAATTTATGAACAAAAGAAAACAAAATATAAATAATAAATAACATTACATTTTAGGTTTTCATGGTGATCACCATTCATTATATCTTGTAGGTAGAGCTGCTTGTCAGGGAATAAAAATTATAATAGTATTTTTTAGTTAAAAGAGGCTGAAAGAGAATTGTTTGTTTTCACCAGCTTATGAAAGGGAACTTGCCCCCTTCCACCACAGATATTACATTAGCTGAAACACACACAACTTATTTCGTTTGAATCACTGTTGAGTGAGTATATGATTTTAGAGCCAAGTTTAACAGGTACTACATGTTTCATGACTTGTGTGTACCAGACAACACAATGAAATAGTACATTATTAAAAATTCTTTGATTTTAATGTTAATTTGGTACCAAATGCTATCACTCGCCCATAAGCAAATATAAATTACAAGATATAACAATGTATCACGAGAACGCCATAGACATGGCGTGTTCATATTTTTCATTGTTTTACATCAAGCTTTTGAAACAACACAACCAAAACCAAAAGAGATTATCTTTGGTATAAACCTAATTATCCAGTTTAGTTTGCAAGATTTAACATCAGTTTTTTCACCATGTAACTTTCCATGTTATAGAAAAAGAAGTGATTCTTACGACTCACAACAGTGCTTATGAAATACATTATTTGTAATGCTTTCTTGTGGAAAAGTGTTATCTTCATAAGTAAGCTCTTTGAACTCCTCACAGTTATATTCAAAGCACACTTGACTTCTGTACACATGGAACTAAGTATAAGGGGTATACATATAATTGAAAAAGAGATTACTTGGGTACATTCCAAAAGCAATGAACCATGATGGTTTATCTCAAGGATAGTGGAAGACAAACAATAGAAGCATTCAAAATTGTTTGAGGAGCAAAAATTAAATGTTAGTGTCATATTAATTCTTTCCTTCATGCATTCATCATAATTTGAGCCCAACAGATCATGCAGCAAAATTGGAAAAAGGTAATCCATATGGGAATACGCAGTTCACACATGCACTCTTCACATATTTGCATTCTAAATGCTCCTAGTTTTTAAAAACAAAGCTCATACCCTTATTAAGTATAATTTATTTATTCAGTTATTTGCTTTGTAAAAGCTTTAGTTTTGTCACACATGACATCAAGGACTCACACCATCACTGTGTGTTTAGCTGTTGATTCGGAAAAAATATTTCATATAGAATTTGTAGGCATGTTGCCATACAAAACTTAACATGCATCATTAGTTATTACTATCCAACTAAAATGTAAATAAGAGATTTCAATTAGGTGCCATCTTGTTCTTATATTTTAGAAATAAATGCCATAACAAAAGTTGTTAATTTCTCAAATATTTGTTCCCATACATAATTTTAGAAACCTGTATGAAGTGGCACTAGTGTTACTCCACCTCACAATTCAAATTACTACCATCATACTGGTATTACTGATCAGAGGAAATTAAAATGTATGAGTTTGGAGCAGGTTCCAACAGCATAATGACCGTATTAAATTCTGTCAGAGTTGTCCAGCAATTCTGGTGGTATGTGCACACGCGCACACAAAACCATCCCTATATGCATTATCCTGTGCATATCATGCAAAGAATGTCTAACCCCCTGGCTTTTGATGACAATCCACACCCTTTTCAGAACAAAACTGGCTAACTTATCAGTATGTTGGTTTTTGAAGATCTATAAATGATCACAGAACAGAGCTAGACTTCATTACACTAACTTCTGGAAGATGAATCTTAATCTGCCACGTTCCCGGAGTGAAGAAAATCAGGTTGTGAATTCAAAATGCCATTATTCACAGACTGAATGGTACATAATGAAAATTAAACATAAGCATTACCTAGCAAATGTAATCGATTTAACATCAAACACTGATTAACTGACTCAAGACTCCATTAACAGAAACTTGCTTCATCACAAGGAACACAGTATGCCCTAAATCATCAATGAAGTCAGAATCTAGGAAAAGCTGTTCAAGATGCTTACCACTTAGCCCATGGAGGCAGAGCTTCAGGAACAGAACTGTTTGTATACCAAACCTGATCTTGGGGTTAAGCCATAACAACTGTTCTAAATCACAAATTTAAGACCACTAAAACAGCATATGTAAATAATATATGGAGCAAACTGTTGAAGTCAGAGGAAAAAATCTGTCACATAAGGTTCAGACCACTAACCAATTAACGAACTAAATTTGCCATTAGAAAACAAATCAACTGGTTGGACCAACTGTGACAACCATGTGAAATTCAAATATACACAACAAAAACAGGTTGGTACATATTCAGATACAACCAAGCCTTAAGAAATTTTATCTGAAGGCAGGAGCCACTTGCAACTATTTGGTGCCAGGACAACAAAATGTTGCTTTTTTCATATTAAAGTCAAACACGGATCTATTACCGAAAGAAGTAGGTCCTTAATCCTGTTATTTTACTCTAACATTTATGCACTGTTTGGTCAGTATTTCTTTTACTGCCTCTGTTCATTGTACTGGACAATGAACTGTGATTACTGTCCCATGAGCGTGTTTTTATAGTGATGTTTTTTCACAACCAACAAAAAGCTACTTACATGAATAAGTTTCATTAACATTTTTCTGTTATCTGTTCTACTGTCGGGTCTATACATTATCTGCCATATTGAAATCCAATATTTTCATACCTACCAGAATTCTGTTTCTAGGTAGTGCAATACCGTCTCTCTCTCTCTTCCCCCCCCCC